ACTAATGCCAATCCTAAACAATGCTGTGTGAATATTACCCTGAAAAGGACTTTTAAACATTGTTATCATTTACATAACAACATTAAATTTCATTACATTTATCACACATCGTTTATTGTAAACTGATTTCAATTATGATTTTCTATTAGTGGAAAGAGCATAGACATTAGTGAACTGGTGTGTTCTTGAATCTGAAAGTATTTCACTGGTGGTGTTGAACCCCTGTGCACCTGAATTGGCTAACAATGTTTAAAACTACAAGACACTTTTATTTGAAGCGACATTTGGATCGGGAGAAAAAAAAGAAGCAATTTGTAACAAACGTCATAAGATGTGCTCATAGAAGAGGTTCTAGCTAATTCAGAATTAATTGCATGCCACAGAGGAGCATGTACGTGGATGGATTCCCATGTAAACTTGAAGAACAAATTTGGTTTAGAAACCAAACATATTCTAAACACATGGAGTCTTAGAGATGCACACTGAAAATATGTATATAAATAATAGTCTAACATGAAATCTAAGCTAGTTGTATGTTAACGGTATAAGATTTCCACATTCTGGATTTTGATGAGATTTCTTTTTTTTTTTTTTTTTTTTTTTTTTTTTTTTTGCAGTGTGCTCCAATAAATAGAATTTAATCTGAATTTACTGCGATGGACTGGCGACCTGTCCAGGGTGTACCCCCGCCTCTCGCAAAATGTGTGCTGGAGATAGGCACCAGTAGACCAAAAGGGAATTAGCGGGCTAGAAATTGAATGAATGAATAATCTGAATTTAATTTTCTAGAATTAAGACCGTTTTTAGGTTAACAATACATTTAGTCACAGATCAATTTAGGAAATGTTGCCAAATTCTTTTTATTTGTCAAGTATTGAGAAACAAGAAGCTGCAAAACTTTTTTGGACAATATATTGTTTGAGATGCAATTAAAAAAGAAAATTCACATTAGTTTTATCAGGGTTTTTTTAAGATTATTTTTTATTATGGGATCACTGAAGATCCGGGCTTGAATCCAGCCCTGACCATCAAATGAAACATTGAATTTTCTATTAACTGTTTTCTATTATTTAATTTTCTATAAAAAAAAAAAAACAAGATTTTTTTTCAGTGCACTACTGAAGACAACAGCAAACTGATTCTTAATTTGTGTGGTAGGGTCTGAATTTCATTGCACCATGGATCCATCCAGTTCTTCATCAATGGGTTATACTGCTATGAGAGATCCTGGTGCACTTTAGATTCTGTTCTAGAAATGTTAAAATGTTTAAATGTTAAAACCATACTTGCTCATTATAGTTGGAACACAATGAACATTTCTTCTTATTACATCACATCTATAAAAACACCAACACAATCAAGTTACATAGGCACAGCACAGTTCCTGTTTCATTCCCATCACTACAAATAGCCTGTACACCTACACAGGAAAACAAATGGTAACTTTTATGCTGGAGGCCAGCTAGAGACAATATGTTGGATTTAAATCAGACAGAGCCTGAAGGCCTTACTTTAGCTACCGTACAATACCAGCATGTTCCTGTCATATCAGCCAGTGGCCAGACATGGTGCTGTGGGGGCCGTCTACCTACTACCTCTCCCATGAGTACTTCATTTTCACACATGCCTGCACACCCACACATATCCACCAGGGACATTAGAATCATGCTTAATGCACAGTGTACTTGGACAACAGCCCCCGCAGGCACAACAGCAACAGTGCACACATCTGGGTGCTTCTTTAATAATTCATTACAAATTTAGCCACTCCATATACACAAATGCCATAGCTCCTGAATCAAACAGTGGAACAGAATGCTGATTTAAAAGGAAAACTGTTCATAGCAACTGAAAGTTGATAATGAATAGTATTGAGGAGATTTAAAAGAAACTCTTGAAACAGAAAGGAGAATAACAACAAAAACTATGTATTGATTTAAAGAATCAGGGAAATTACCAGACCATTGCACACCGACATGCTGTATTTAGATTTAAAGGCAAAATGAACCCTCTTGCTGAGATGTTAACTTCCGGTGACTGCCTGAGCATCTCTGTGAGATGGTGGCACTTTTTTGGATCACTTTTGCTACAGTGATTCAACATATATTTAAAGCTTTGATTTTCACCTTATGTGTAAAGAAATATTTCTTTCTCAAATTGTGTGACATTTTTCTTCCATGAGGAGCCATTGTTGACAAAACGAAATAGGAAAGGCTTTTCTTTGCTCTTTTATAGTCAGTCACCTGTCTGCTGGACACCTCTTGAATGAATCATTAGATTGACCTGTGATTGAATGCCTTTTAATTCAATTGTTTTAGTCTGTGGCTTTCCTCCTAAGACTAGAATTGGGGTGCACTCATTTTTGCACCACAAGCTTACATTTGAATTTGTAGGAAAATAACTTTTTTTGTGTGCACAAATGAACAAATCTTGTTTGCAATCGATGGCCCACATTTGTGGGAGTATTTTGTGGTAAAGTGTCTCATAGAAAATGTTGATTCTGAAAGTAAACTAAAGGTTTTCTGACAAATGTGGTAGAAATTTCTAGTACTTTCTATCTAAATAATCATGCATTAAAAGGGATATTCTAAGTTTAGAAATTAATTCAGTTTGACTCATTGCATGAACAGAAATAAAAGTACCTGTAAGAAAATCTACAATACTAGTCTCCCGCTGTGGCCACCTTCACACTCGTTTCAATTTGGAGTGAACCATGTTTTCCAGGGCAGTCCAAGGCAGGCTTCCTACTGAAAAGTGGCTCAGCTTGTATTCTCAATGGATTCTAGGCTCGCATCACAGTAATTAAGACAATAAGTGTAATGGATTGTTATTATTATCAACTGCAATGAAGAAAAAATAAAATAAGCAATATCCCAGTGGGAATCCTGATGCCGTTTGACCTCAACAGAGAAGCTTCTTTATGACCTACTGAAGTCTAATTGGCTGGTCTCTCTTTTCCCATGCTATCCAGCTATAGAGGACCATTCATTTGCAGCCACAGAGTCTAGAGAGAGAATGTCACAGGTATTCAAAATGGCCCACTAATACGAATTTCTTCTCAACCTTACAGAGGCTTGGGGGATTCTCAAATATTTTCAAATAATCTACAAGGGTGAATCTAAAGCCGTACAAGATATACAAGCCTCGAAATAACGGCTGAATGGTAAACATCTAGGAAAGACCCCTTACCCTTTGAGTTTGAAAGCAGGCTCTGAGTAGCATACTACAATAACTCTGCTTGTTACACTTACGCTGTACTGCAAACTCACTCGACTAATTCAGCACTAAGTGGTATGTGTTTTATTGGCACAGTGTGTAAAGGAACAGGGGACGAGGCAAAAGTTAGAGTTTAGAGGCAATTTATTGCATACTGAAATGCTGCAAATCAAGTGCCAAACTGGTTTTCTTTGCAGGCGCTCTGATGTTTTATTAGTTGTTAAGTGCAGTGCTAATAGAATTAGGTCATATTTCATAATGTTACATAAACAGATCACCAAAAATGCAAAAGGAAATAGTTATTTGACTTTCTTTCGGATTTTGAACGTAAAGACATTGGAAAATAAATGTTTAGTTCATAAATGTAATAGTGGTTTAATTTTAAGGACAAAATATACTGATTTTACACTTGAGATAGTGAAATAAGTATTCAACCCCTCACCAATTTTTTTTTTTTTTTGGAACTCATTGATGTTATTAATATCTGGAGACAAGCTCTAGGACAGGAGTGTCAAACACAGTTCCTGGATCTCATTGATCTCACCTAAAATGTGACAGTACATGTCCCCGTCCATCACCCATTTGATGTGTCACAGTTTCATGTCCCTTTTGTCAGAAAACACCCCCAGAGCATTTTGTTTTTTTCAACCATATTTGACTGTTTGTGTTAGTGGGACATTTGATAGCAAACCGTTAAATTTTGGTCTTATTCCAGTTCGGAATCTTTCATTTCTAAGTCTAAAACTTAAGATGGGGATGCACACGGATTCTTGAGCAGGGGGATTTTACTGGGATTGCAGGATTTAAGTTGTTCTTGATGACTAGGGAGCCAGTTTCTTGAAATCACTGAAAATATGATCCTTTGAGGCTCTAAGTTATTCACCATTAGTGTATAACCTGACCCACTGTTGGTACCTTGTCACAAAGCTGCTTGAAATCTTGTCCCAAACATCTTTAGACAATTATTTTGCTTTGACCAGGTAATGACCCTTTAAGAGAGGCCCTTGATTTCAGTTAAATATCTATTAAAAGACAACTACACGGAAGAGTTAGAAAGCATTCTTCAAAGTTATTGTTAGAGGGTCATACAAGTGCACATCAGATTTTTCTAGATTTGTTCAGTCTGTCATTGATGAAATAAATCTACAGTAAGTTTGGACAGATTTCTTTTTAGCTGAGTACTCTAAATATCAAGAAGACACTAGATCCTTTCTTTGATTAAACGAGCATCACACACCATGTAAAGGGCAGAAAAGTGTCAGTCTAGTAAGTGGCTGACGGGTTTGTTAATATGGAGGCACTAAATGTATTCACAGGGCCTCTCTAGGCGATGCCCTGGCCAGAGGAATTCCTGCACCTAATAATAGAGCACTCAACGATTGAGAGAGGGAATCAAATGAGTGGTGGAGCTGTTGGCAGGCTGGCAGCCGAGTGCCACCCACACTCTCCAGAGAGGAGGAGAGCAGAGCCATGGCAGGAACAAAAGGACAAAGACGCCCTCACTCAGAGTTTATACAATCCTGCAAATTGATTAAATTGCAGTGGGGAGGAGAGATGCTGCAAAATCAGACTCACTGGCAGACTATACAAGTGTTGTAGAGGACTTGAAAAAAAAACACTCTAGAGCTACTTTCAAATGTAAACATGCATCAAAGTGGGAGTACAATAAACCCCATCCGTCTGAATTTTAAAGATAGAATACAACAAACAACCAGTCCTACAACTCAAAGAAAAGGTTCCTCATAGTTAATGCACATTTAATTTGTATTATTTCACATGAATATACTTTCCTGTTGCTCAGTCAGTAGAGCATTATGCTAGCAACTCAAAGATCATGCGTTCAAACCCAGGGAAAGTAAAAACTGGCCAGATGTGTTCATTCTTTGAAATGTAAGTTGCTTTGGATAAAGTGTTTAAAAAGTGACAGCATAAAAGTGTTCAAGAGACATAATCCAGAAAAAAGTGCATTGAAACAATGAATTTGAGTCATTTAAACAACTGTTAACGTAGTTTCAGGATCTGTGATAAATTTCATTTAAAAAGTATTACCAAACAAGACAAGAAAAGACAAGATTATCTTTATTTACCCTGAAGAAAATTGTATCAAAACTAAAAAAGCTTCTGAATTTAGAGAAACATGCATAATTGACTCTTGATGTTTATATGTGTTATTGTACACAGAATGTATTTATTGGACAAGTGATATTGCACATATTAAATATATAGCACATGATTTGCATAGTTTTGCATAATTAGGTTTTTTTAATAACTATAATATAAATAAAACTACTGCACAATGTTTACTGGCATGAAAAAGGGTCTATTTATGCTTCCGAATGAGGGGGGAAGAGTTATAAATTGCAACAAGTATAAATAATGTTCTGTGCTGTTTAGTTTTTAGTGTCAGTCTATGGCTGAACGTGCTTCTTTATGAAATCACTAAAATGGATGCAATATTCTTTGCATGATACTTAGCAGTTTCTTCAGCATCATTCACTCAGATACCTCCACAAAAGACTCCACTCCAATGACAGAGCTTGTTTTCTTAGTTATGTGGAAGCATTCATAAATATATTGAATACCCTATTTTTGATCATACCCTATTTATGATTGTAAAATACAAAACTTTACCAGCGTACATTTATCACGTTATGTCAACTTCATTTTTACTTCCACAAGAACAGGTTCTCAAAGAAGAAGAGTGGCGCTGCAATCCCCAAAAATAAACATGGAAGTTTTGAGTGGAACTGATCTGGTTTGGAATCCCAGCGACAACAATATGGTAAACACAACTTCAATATTGCTTTGGGTTAATTGACATTCAGAATTCTATAATCCTTCAAATTTAACTATTTTTTTCACTAACTTTCCCTATAAAAGTTCTACTGCGTGGAGTCACATAATTCTGCTCCATTACCTTCAATTATGTTAATATCAAGTAATGCACCCTTCAATCTCTTACATGTAACATGTGAGAATATTTACTGTACAAAACTTGGTAGTAAACTATGATTGGAATTAACAATAATAAATAAACAAAATAATCGTTCATTAATCGCAATCAAGTTAAAATGTTACTTTTTTTTTTTATTTAGATTTTAAGCCAAATCGCCCAGCCCTACTGTGGGTTCAGCCCAGAAAACACTTTAAACACAGATACTTAATAATAATAATACAAAAATCAACTAAATGAAAAACATTTTCTTACAATGTACTAAAAGCTGCTTTTGTTTTTTCAGCATTAGATTATTAAATTAGCATCATGAATAAAAAACCTGTTGGGATTTAAACATGTTTTACAGTGGGCATACATGTGATGTGCTCCCTTCAGTAGCTGCCTTCACAAGTGAGGTTGTAAAAACTATTTTCCAGTGTAAAATGTCTCGTTATCTCAATTAAATATTTAAACTTGATCATCGGCCCTATATACATGTCATTATAACTGAAATACACTATTATCACCCTTAATTAGTTCAAAAATGCAAAGGATCCAAGCAGCCTTGTCTTTGTAGCAATTTCAAGATAATATATGAACCAATCTCATTGCGCTTTACACAGTTAACTTTGTTATGCTACTTCCAGCATTAGCATTTCAGATATTTGCATTTTGACAGGGGGAAATCTATTATGTGTGCGCCTCTTCTCAGAGCATGTGAGCGCTAACTAAACCAGGAGGGGAAGTGTGAGTCTCTCTGGTGTCCCTCTCATGCATTTATCTTGTGCTGCAGCGAGACGCAGGCTGCCTGATGAGGGTCAGACATAGGGCTGTGGATGGATGCCAGATTACATGAACGTATCTCTGCAAATCTAACAAGGCTGACTATTGGCTGCAGGCTTAATGCACACTGTGTTTGTGTGCATGTGTTTCTGAGGGCCGATGAAACCGAGCTACTTTAATTTGAACAGAGGATCCTCACAGCATTGCCACACTTTTCTCTCGTTTGCTGGCTTTTTTTCAAGGTGAAATAGAAGGCGGTGTGAGTAACCTACATTGGTGTCTTAATTAAAATACAGAAAACGACTAAATTCACAGTGAATCCAGCACCCCATGGGCACAGACAAAAAAGAGAGCTTGTGAAATGAAAGACGGTCTTGTACAGATGCTATGAATGCACACTAATGAGGCATGTCAGGAAACAAAACTGTCTAAACATTGTCAGGCAGATGAGTTTGAAGAATTGCATCTTATCATACACCTATGCCACTAGTCAAAAGTTGGGGTGCATTTTCTCATTTCATGCTTTTAAACTAAATTTTTACAAACTATGACTGAAGACATATGGGTGTATTACTCTGAACAGGTTGTATATTTTTGATTATTCAAATCACACATCTTTTGCTTTAATTATAGCACACTTGTGAGTCAGTTCTATGAGTGGGCACTGAAAATAGTTTGGAGTTTGCTGAGATTCTGAACATTGGACTGTAAAAACCAGGTCATCTGGTGCAGAGCCCATTGCTTTCTTAGTCAAATAAAGGTTACATACATGGGATGTGTGTTTGGGGTCATTGTCTTTTTGTAAAATGAATGCTCAAATAACACAAACCGAATATAATGAAATATTGCTGCACAATGGTGTGGTAGTTTTTTCCTTTACTTTTGAATAAATCCCCAACTATGTGACCAACATAGCACCCCTAGAACATACTAGCATTGGAACCATGTATGTAGAGACAACCATTTGGGCTATTCAAATTAATCAGACCTATGCAGTGATCTAAAATTCACTCCTTGTGTTTTGTATCTCAAACCTCTGTTTGCTTCTTTTTTGTCATGTTTCCTAAGTAGATTTTCCTGGGTGGCATTTCGAAAGAAAAACACAGATTTGCTTAAATTCTCTCCCAAACAGTTGAGTTAGATATGTCCCTCTTACTAGAACTCTGTGTGGAATTCATCTGGGCTCAGCTCAAAATTCATCTTTACTTGAGATTTCTAAGGCTGGTGACTGATGAACTTATCCTGGGTCTTCATGTGAGCCAGTAGTGAATTCAAAGTATGAAAGACAAAGTTTATAAAATGTCCAGATCTTACTGACTTTGATTTCTTAAAATGCATTTAGCTGGTTCTTGCCAATAATAAAATAAGCATTTTGGAACCAAACTTAATGGAACCAAGTTTTTGAACTATTGTTTATTTAGTACAAAATTCTGCTGATATTCATTCAAAGTTTCAAAAGGAATCTATTTAAACAGTTATGAATAAAAAAAAGTATAAACTTTGTTCCATTACAAACTATGTGATTTTTTTGTTAAATGTTTTTATTGGTTGGTAAATTACTCAAACAAATTCTCATAATTTATTTTACTGGGTTATATTTGGTCGAGGTTTGGTGACATTTCATTAAAAAATAATAATAATTTAGTCAAGTAATCACATTTTATGTGTCTCAGGTTAATAAGTTGTTATTAGTGTTATTATAGCATTTCGATCACGGCAGTGACCATAAAATTTGCTTACATATAATAAAAAACCTGTTTTTGATAGTATCTCGAATAAAATCTAAAAAACTACTATATATTGTATGTTTAATGTTAACATTAAAGCTTTGGCAACCATTTGTTTTAATATTGAGCTTTTTTTATATTTAAGACAAAAATGATTATTCCAAAATAGTCTTGTGTGACATTTGAGGAGACCATTATTAATAGATCATGCATTATAATGTATTTAGAATTCTTCTTAAACAGAATGTCCTCATAAACATAACGTCCTCACAAACAGATACATCACTACTGCAGCTGTTGCCTATAATTTGTGTTAGACTGTGATCCGGGTATCGCCCCAGGCTGCGCGTGTATGATACTGTACGTGTTTGTGATTCTCTGGACTGTGCCTCATGTCCTTATCATGGAAGCGCTGGAGTGGACGAGCACCTAGAGCTACAGAGAGAGAGATAAAGTCTGTGTGTCAGAGCCCTGTGGTGCCTGTCATCGGCTGGCATAGCCACCTCTCCCCGCGCACTGGCCACCAGTGTTTAATCCATGTTGGAAGAGTTAACATTCAGCCAGCTCGCGGGTGACAGATCTGCCATGCGAGCCTCTTCTGCCCTGGGGCGAGAACCACCCCGAGTGTCAGCCCAAACTCACATCGGAGCAACATGCCCAGGGAGAGCTGTCCTTTGTGACTACAGAGCTGGCCTGTGTGTTAGTGATGGTCATTACAGCACGCAAACTCACTCAGACATGAACATCAGGGTTAAAGATGTGCATCAGAGGTCAAGGCACTGATTGGTGCTGCAAGATGAGTGATTCTGCTGCTGTTTTCAGAAATCCCCTACCCAAAACATAGATACAAAATCTTTTTCTTTACCATTCTGTTATTGAGGACAAGAGTCTGCAAAGGTTTAACGATATAGCAATACAGTGCCAAAATCAAACCCTGGACATGCTACAAGAACTTCTCAATTTGATTCGATTCAAATAAAAGTGAGAAACCCTGATGGATGATGTGAGTCCAAAATGACCAATGATGACTTTCTTGTGAGAGACAGATCTGGAGCATAGAACCCTTTTGTGTCCCAAAAGGTGGAAGAAAATGAGAAAGAGGAAGCAGATCTCAGGACCCTGGGATTGACATGGTCAACGTTTAGAGGTCAATTGGTGCAAAGGTGATCATCCATATATATATGATTAAAATCCACCATTTTAATACAGGGCTCTTCTGTTTAACAGTTTAAATTTATTTGCTGTAAAAATGAATGCTAAAAAAAACATTACCATTTTTGTACAGCATGTATATGATCATAAAATTATTTATATTTTTTTCCTGTAAATCGAATGCATATTGCGACGTTCCCAATTGTCTTCATTTTGGATGTTCTGATGGATTAAACTATACGCATAATATAAAGAAAAGCT